TAATTTTAAATGCCTAATTTTCGCAAAATATTCTTGTTCCTCGGAGATATTGCGCATGTGCGATCACTGTTTCAGGCGCGCAGTACGGACTGAATACAACAGGTTATTATTGCTTTGTGAGATGAGAGAGAGAGAAAGAGGGGGTGGGAAAATGAGAAAAACTGCAGAAGAGATAGCTGAGGAGCGGTGGAAGAAGAAGGGGGCAATGGAGGCAAAGGGAACGACGGAGACGGTATGAAGTAGGAGTTTTGCACACTACAGGCTAGTACTATTGGCAGTAAGCGACGACTGGCGTGCGAGAGCCATTGTTTGTACATTAGCATAGGCGGGCAATCGTAGCGAGGTGCTGGGAGCAGTGAATTTTATAGATCGGATTTTACCATGCACACGTGCCGTCGGCTCGCCCGCGACCAGTTTGAACGTATGAGAAGTTGAGAACGGCCGAAGAAAATGATCTTGGCAGTCAACGGTGTCCGACGTACGAGCGCCATCTTCATGTATATTAGCATATGCGGAATCCAGAGCGCGAGCTGCGAGCAAAGTGAAAATACTATGGCGGACTTTACCATGGCACCCAGGCACCAATTTCTCCAGGGCATATCCCTGCCCATTTTGAGCGCGTAGGTTTGGCCGAAATAAATTATACCAAGCTGGCATCCCGACCATCGACGCGAGGGACATTGCTATGTACTTTAGAGGGCCCGCAGCAGTAGCCTTCCACCAACTGTTCACTCTTGAAACTGAGTCGTCGAAGTTCGTGTTACCTAATTGAGCCTCGCACCCGATATCGACCGTCGAGACATTCTTGACCTATCGTAATCAACGTGCGTGTCGTACCCTATTTGATATAGAGGTAGTGAATTCGATTTATAAATGTATGTATATATATATATATAGATAACACGGAATACGGTATTCCGCGAATAATATTATTATACAGCCTTAGGAATATTAAGCAAAGTGTTATATATATATATATATATATATACATATTATATTTATATATAAATGTATGTATATATATATAATTCGATAACACGGAATACGGTATTCCGCGAATAATATTATTATACAGCCTTAGGAATATTAAGCAAAGTACAGTATGCTGTGAGCACAATGTAAAAAAACATACCGACATCATCGTGTTCGTTGAACGCGTAAAATCGAAAAAACGGTATCGTAAACAATACACTCGATAAACAACTACGATACTATTGGTCGAATGACCATGACAGTTATGACGCAAAGTACGTCACGCATTTCCGTGCACTGGAAGGGGTGACGCGACAAATCGGTATATATATATATACCTTCAAAAAATGAAACTAGTTAAAAGCGCCGGCACGTATATATTCGCACTAGTTCGCTTTCTAAAAATCTGCTGCCATCTTGAAATTCAACGGGTGCGCCGCTCACTGACGTATTTTGCCCAAGGCAACCTTCTCCCCTTCTCCCAATCTGCCCTTCTCTCCTTCTCTCGCTCTGCTGTACCCCACATCTCCCTCTCCCTCTCCCCCTTCTCTCTCCCTCTTTTTCTCTCTCTCTCTCTCTCTCGCCAACCGCCTTCTCTCGGTCTCTCCATCATCTCATCTCATCTTGTCTTTCTCTCGTCTCTCTCTCTCGTGCTCTCCTGGTCTCTCTCTCTCTTCTGCTCTGTCTTATGTCTTCTGCTCTTTCCTCTCTCGCAGTCTTTGTCTGCCTCGCTGTCTCTCTGTCTGCTCTCTTTCTCTTTTCTCTCTCTCTTTCTCTCTCGATCTCTCTATCTCTCCTGCTCTCTCTCTCTCCTCAGCAAGGATCTCGCCTGGCTGGGCCGTTACTCCGCCTCGCGTTATTTACGCATTCGTTCGCCCCCTAGATCTTCCGGCGCTATCAAAATATTCGCCGTCAAAACAGAAAATATCGTAACCCTCGACTTCTTACCTCCATATAGCTTTTGCTTAGACTCTGCTAGGGTCGCTGCCCCCCTCCTTGTCTCTCTTCGCTCTCTCGTCTCTCCACCTACTTCAATCTCCTCTCTCTCTCTCTCCTCCCTTCTCTCTGCTCGTTCTCTCTCCTGCTCTCGCTCTCGGTCTCTCTCTCCTCTCTCTCGATTTCTGTCCTCTCCTCTCTCTCCGTCGCTCTCTCCAATCAAAAGCCATCCTCAATTTCTTTCTCTCTAATACTGTAATGGCCTTCCCCTTCTTTTCGTGGCTTCTAATGGCCTCATGTTTCCTCTGCTTCATGTTCTCATATGTTCGCTGCTATTGTCTCTGCTTTCGCTGCAAGCCGCCCTCCCCTCTTCGGCATAAAACATCTAAATGCATTTGCGGTCGTAACGTATTAACAGAGTAATAACTATATCTTATTAGTATTACGGCATAGCAATGTGTGTGGTAAAGCTTATATATATATCAAGGCAGTAGATAATAGGTCTTCTAGCTAATATGGCCTATTATGCTGACTTCTGATATATATATATAATATGTAAAGGCTATATATATAGTAAATTATATGGGACATATATATACACACCACCACATATACATATGTATGCCATATATATAAGGCATATATTATATATATGTAATATATATATGGTATAACAGACCGTTCTTACATACGGTATA